TTTAATAATAATTTTAAAAAAAAATAATTTATATATATATAACTGTTTTGTTATATTTAGGATTTGGTGTCAATATACTATTGAAACAGTAATTTGCATATATTTAAAAAAATTAAAGTTTTTAGTGTATAATAAATTAATAAATTTGGGGGAAAAAATAAAACAAAATAAAATAATTTAAATTAACTGTTTGTTAAATGACATTGATATTGTTTGATTACTTAATTATAATTATTATTATTATTATTATTACTAAAAATGCTAATTAAGTTTTTTTTTATTTTAAGTTAAATGCTATAAAACAAAAAAATAATTGTAAAATTTATTATAACCTAATAAACTTTATAATACTTTTTAAAATGCAAATCAATTTTTATATTTATAGTAATTATTAATTTTATTTTTTATTTTGTTTTATAAAAATATTGAGACAGTGATCGATATCTATAACTATTGAATTGAATATAATTTATGTTATATTAATAATAATAATAATCAATAGTTTATATAATATTTATATACTGTATATAACTACTGTTTAACCCATTAATGATACAAATATTATATATATATAAAAATATTTGTTACAAAAAAATTAAAACTTATATTTTACTAAAAAACAAAATAATTATTATGACATAAATATGTGTTAATTTATGTACAAAATATGTGTTTTATTTATCACTTAAAAATGTGTTATTTAAGTGTTTCTCACTATTAAACAAAACACAAAAAATAATATTTTAATAAAAAAATTAACAAATTTCTATATATATATAGAAATAAAAAAAGAAAAATTGTTCAAAAATTGTAATTTTGAGCCATTTATCTTTAAAAAATAATTAATATTTATATTATTATTATTGGTATTACCCATTGGTTACACTATTTATTTTATTATATAATATTTAACACACATATATACATGCAGTTATTATATTTAAACAGTATACTTTTATTTAGGTAATTATATTATTATTAGTAGTAAATATATATTGATATATATATATATATATATATATATACAAAACGTGTTTACTAAAATTTATTACACTTGAAAATTAATGATTTTTTAAATTATATATAAAATATTATATAATATATATATATATATTATGTAATGTATTTTCTCCACCCGTTTTTTTTGTTGTAAAAAATATTATTAATATATATATATATAGTTATAAAACATTTTAAACAGCATTAGTGTTTAAAATATATTTATCAAAATATTAGTAAAATATTAGTACATTAATAATAATAATATAATAATAAATATAACATTTATTTTTTATTTACTGAAAAACATAAAAAATCAATGCCTCGCCCATAATATTATTAGTATATAATATATATTATTAATTAATTAAATATATATATATAAAATTTATCTAAAAATAATTTATGGTATTATTATTATTATTATTATCTATTAAACTGTTTTTTTATTAATTTCTAGCTACTGTATATAAATGTATTTAATAAATTTATTAAAAAATTATTTATAATTTTTTTTAAATAGTATTTAATATTAGACGATAAAAATAGGAAAATATTTTATTTTTTATTATTTAATTTTTCTTTAAAATACAAATATAATATATAATTTATATTTATATATAAACATTAGGATATATTTTTAAATATAAAACATTTATTTGTTTTAATAATAATAATAATTACATATCATTGCAATAATTTTTATTTATTTTGATCTCAATATTTTATTTAAATCATTTGAAAATAAAACTAATCAAACATTTAACTATATTTATTATAAAAAAAATTTGTATACAAATTATATATAACAACTTATAGTTAAATTTATAATTTATAATTTATTTTCATTTTTATTAATATAATGGATTAACTATCAAATTATTAGAGAGAGAGAGAGAGAGAAACTAGTTTATAATGATTACTATTATTGTATTATTATTAAGTAGTAGTAGTATTATATAACTTATTATCAAAAACACATTATAATAAAATAAAGTTATTATAATTCAAAAAAATAATTGTTTAGAAAATAATAATAAAAAGATGATGAAAACATATATATATATATTATATGTATTTAAATTTGATATATTGTTAAGTAATAATAATGATGTTAATAAACAAATTATAATAAAATTAAATTATAAGTTAGTATTTATTTTTTATTTTATTTTTATTGAATGTAATATAATTTCTTTATTATGATAACATAATTTTTTTTGTATATATTTATATATATATATATAATACATATTATTATTATTAAACAATTAATTGAATAGTTTTTAATTATGATACACAATATTAATAGTAGAAATTATATATATATATATATATAATAAAAATTATTATTATAATATTTATTTTAATAATAATTTAGGCCATATTATTCAAAAAGTTAGTTAACATATATATATATAATAACAATATATATATATATAATAAACACAATTCAATACAAATAAGATTAATTTGTTTAACAATATTTGTATTTAGTTAGTATTCAATTGTTTAATAATACCCATCATATTATTATTATTATTATTATTGTAATATAATATTATTATTAATTTATATACAATAAGACACTGTTATATAATAATTTAAATATAATATTAATAATAATAATACAGTATTTATTTTTGTGAAATTAAACAATGAAATAAAATTATCATTTTATTGAAATACTAAATAAATAATAATAATAATAACTAATAATTTTATTATTTATTTTGTACTGTATTTTCATTCATTCATACATTCAATAGACAGTCAGACAGACAGACAGTTTGAAACAATAAAACCTCGAAACAAACAATATATAGTTCACTAAACTTTTTTTTTAAAAAAAAATTTAATAATTATTATATTATTGTATATAAACAGAGAGAGAGAGAGAGAGAGAGAGAGAGAGAGAGAGAGAGAGAGACCAAAAATCGGATAAAACATACGGAATATAAATATATAAAAATATGAAAACAAAAAGTTTTGTCATAAAAATATGATTTTTTTTCGTATATTATTATTATTATTATTATTAATATTAAACAATATAAAAAACTTGATTTATATTATAATACTGTATAATAAAACATTATTATTTATTTTGTTGTGTTTTTCTACCCAAATAATTTAAATATTAATGTAATAATAAAAACGTATAGAAAATGCAAAATATAGTAAAAAAAAATATCGGATTTTATTTTACATTTTAATTTAGTTTGCAATGACTTACTGTAAATAATAATAATAATTATTATTATTATTATTACTGTATAATCAATATCATATTGTGTTTGTGTGTGTTTAATAAAAATTTCAATTAACATAAATTTTATTTATAATTATAAATATATATATATATATTAAACATTTAATATTTCAATTATTATTATTATTAAGATAAATTTGTTTTAAAAAATAAAATTTATATTTTAATAACTTTATTATTATTATTAGTTTGAAATCTTTTAATACATTATAAATATTTATTAGTCAATTGATACTTATTTAATGGGTTTTCAATTTAATTGGTAATTAAAGTGAAATAAATAAAATAAAAATACAGATTATTTATGAATAAATTTTTTCTTTATTTTAAAAAAAAAATCTTAATATAATATATGATTTAAAAAAGATATAWATATTTACAGTTATATTAATAGATATCAAGTTTTATTCAACTTATTTATATATACATTATTTTACAGCTATTTATATCTATCTATAGATCTCTATGTAATAATACTTATAATTATTATTATTACTAATTTTGGATTTCAAAAAAAAAAAATTAAAATTAAAGATAAAAATCTAGACATAAGTTTGTTTTTCAATATAACTATATATATATATACAATCATTAAGTAATTATCTATTGTTTTATATGATAAATGATGAGCTCTTAAAAAATAAACGATGAAATCTTGAAAATAAAAAAAATGATATATTATATTAAAACTTTATATATTTATATACAGTATATCTAATATATATATATATATATATATTGTATATGTATTGTTAAAACAATTAAATACACGAATTTAGTATCAAATGATTTAGTTTTTTGTTAATTTTATTTGTTTTAAATATATTTTTTTTGTTTGATTTTTAACAACTAATTTAATAAAATTGTATTATATATAATATATATATATATATATGTCTATATATATATATATTAAAAAAATAATAATAAATTTATCAATATTCTTATTTAATGATTTATTATTTAAAAAAATATTCAACAAAAAAATCTTAAATTTTATAGTTATTAAATAATTTAAAACTATTAATTTTAAAGTTAGTTTTTACAAAATGTTTACAAATAAATTGTTGTTGAATATTTTTATGATATCTTTATTATAAAATTAAAAATTTATCTATAAAATATTACTGTATATATTTATTTTATACAGTTTTTTTTAAAAAAATATTAAATAAAATTATTATTAAAAAAACATAATAATAATAAAATCAAATTATTAGATAATTATAATTAAATACTTTTATATATACAAACTATAAATGTATATAAACTTATATATAGTAATAATAATAATAATATCTAATATTTATTTATTTTTACTATAAAAAAAAACTGCTAACAAATACATGAAAAAAATATATTTAAATTTGTTTTAATATATTTATATAAGATTTATAAAAATTATAAATAACTTATTAATTATTTATTATATACATACAGTATATAAACACATAATTATATATATATATATATATATATATATATATATATATATTTGTTTAAATTAATTATTTAATTGTTATTATTATTATTTTTTCGTTACTTATTTGAATTAATAATTAATAAACAAAAAATATATAAACTAATAATTAATTGCAAAAAATATTTAAATAACTATATATATACAGTACATAAACACATAATTTTATTTATTATTAATAATTTTTTTTTAATTAAATTAATCAATTATTTTTAATTTAATTTTATTTTATTCGGTGGCACCGGTCAGGCCGGGGATCAAATTGTACGGATAAACGGCTACTCACTTGAACACGCCGTACACGACGATTGTATAGCATTGGTTAAGTCTAGCAACCGGTGTGTATTGAAAGTTAAACCGACGGGTATGTTACCCAATCGGGACCGACATCAGGACATACTAACCTGGAAACTACTGGCCCAACAATCGGCAGTTAATAATGCAAACAACAACACGGTAGGAGGTGTCGGAGCCAATGGACAACTACTACTACAGCCGCCACCACCGCCTCCGTCATCGATAGGGTCGTCGGCTGAGGACAGTTGCAACAGTCATAGTCCGTCCCCGCCSTGGACTACACCGCCGTCGTCGACGGCCAGCCATTCGGACAGYGAGTCGGCGTCGGCGACGACAATACCCGACGGTATCGGTAGCGGCAATAGTGGTCACGACTGTCTAGAGTCGACCATCTATATCGACCTCCAGGGCAAACAATTAGGCTGTTCAGTGGTTAAGGGACCGCCCAATATACCCGGTTAGTTAATTTTAGTATTTTTTTTGAACCCCACCCCCATCTTACCCCCCCCCCCCAATTTTTTTTAATACATTTTTTTTTTGAATCATATGTTTTAATAGTAAAATAGTAGTTTTAAAAAAATTATTATTATTAATTATAGATATAATTTAGTTATTTTTAAAAGTAAAAAATTGTAAACAAAATTTTTTATATTTTAAAAACTATTATTTAGTAACTATTAGTTAGACGACTATTAAATATTTTATTTTAATATTTTTAAAAATAAATCTATTTTAAAGTTATAAAATAATATATATATAATTAATTACAAAATAATTTTTAAATATATATTACAATCGTCTAAACATTTTACTACATATYAMKWTATACTAAAATAMTGTAAATTAAATTATATATTTAAAAAACATTTATTATTTACTAATTTTATAATATATTTCAGAATAAGAAATAATTAATAATAWTTTATTTTTATTAATTACACGATTTATTATTAATTGTCTGAAAATTAATTATAAAACAYAAATTARAAACTKTAAACAAAATTTAATRCAAAAAACTATTACTTAATAATTATTATTACTTATAWTAGTAAATTAGTAAACTAGCTTGATGACMAATAATTTATATATATATWTATATATTAATTTTTATCTATTTAAAAAGTTATATAAAAATTATATACATTATAATATTAAGTAATATTTAATTTAAAAAATAATTTTCTAAAAGTAATTTTTAGTTAAATATTATTATTAGACATTTAAATACATAAACATAAAATTAAATAATTAGTATTTTTAATTAATCTATCAACTATTAATTTATTTGATTATTATAGCTAGGTTAATTTTTATAATAGTACAACATTTTACTACATGACATAAAACATTTATATATATATATGATTTTAAAATAAATTGATCTTAATTATATTGCTCTAATATTTATTACTTAAATATTTTTAATTATTAAAATATATTTATATTTTTTATTACTATTAAAATACTATTTATTTATATATATATATATATTTTTTAAATAATAGTTATTTAAATAAAAATAAAATTACAAATTATTATCATTTTTATATTAATTACAATTTTTAATTATAAATAATTCTTAAATTAAATTTTTTAACTTATTATATTATTATTTATTAAAATTTGTAATTAAAATAAAAATGTTAATAATTATTTATTTTATTTTTATTTAAATACCTATTATTAATATAAAACTATAAAAATATATAAATAAAATTACTATAATTTTTATTAAATAAAAAGTATTTTAGTAATAAAAAAATTATAAATATATTTTTAATAATAAAAAATATTTAAGTAATAAATATTGGAGCAATGGGGCGATGGGGCGATGGGGCGATTATTTATAAAAAAAATTAAAATTTACATTTAAAAATATTTATAACTATTTTTTTTAACTTATTAGACTAACAGTATAAGTTACTAAAAAAATAACTTAATTTTATCAATTAATTTTACTATAATTTTTTTTTAAAAAAATTAATTCAATTAAATAAAAATTAATAATTATACAAAAAAAAATTATTTCCATAAAAATTAACTTTAATTGAAAAAAATACATTACATTATAACGATATAAAAAATTATAAATAATAATAGAAAAATATTATATTTATTGATATAACTTATTTTATTAATTAATTAATTATTAATTTAATAATTTATTAATTATTAGGTATTTTTGTACAATCGGTTAAAACGGGTGAAACCGCTCATCAGTCGGGCCTAGAAGTGGGCGATCAGATCATACAAGTAAACGGTWTTAATGTMTTGAATATGGATTTTTCCGATGCAATCGGTCGACTCAAGTCATTGCCGGCAATGACACTAACCGTACGGAAAACGGCCGGCAAATACCTGTTCAACAATAATCATAATCATAATCATAATAATAATAATTTAATCAATGGGAACGGTATGCTGATTRGTAACGGTAGTGGTAGTGGTAATTGTCATCAAATTATTAATAATTGTAATAATAATAAAAATTTAATCAATAATAATATGAATGGTGGTCATCAATATATAGTTAATAATAATAATAATAATAATAATTGTGAATTTAATAATCAAATTAATACTAATAATAGGTAAGCATTATATTGATATAAATATATTATAATAATATTGTTTTAAAAATTATTATAATATATAAATAATTATAATTAATAATAATTATTTTAGCATGAATAATTTAKTATTATTTATTTTATTAAAAAATATATATATTATTTATATGTGTGCATGCTCCAATTTGTTATAATTTATTATTACAAMTATTTTATTRTTTTTTGTTTTGTTTTGTAATWATTATTATTAAAACAAAAAAAATATATATATTATATTTATGSTCACATATGGTAAACATATRTATATATACATATATAGAGTATATAATTATTTATTTTGTTTTTTTAAGTATTGTTTTACTWATATAAATATTRTWATAATAATAATAATAATAATATTAATCAAAATAACACTTTCTAATTATTTATAAAAWWWTTTTATAGGAAATATAATWATTATTATTAATATTGAGTTCACTTAACCAAMAAAAATAATGAAAATAATAATCAATTTATTTATTTATTAATTTTTCTACAAAAAATAAWTAAATTTATAAATAATTACTTTATATGTCAATAATCAGATTAAGTTATTTWTWATATTTAAAAATAATTTTTTTTYCACTGATAACATAATCTGATTATTGACTCACGAGTAGTAAAATATATAAAAAAAGGATTAAATATTTATAAATATTATTTATTTATWATTTTTTTTGGATAATTTTRAMGTTAAAATAATATTTACATWTTATAGTTAATTATATATATATTTTTTTATTTGTAAATAAGATTAATTATAATTCAATACATATATATATATATATATATAAGTAAATTATTTTTTAACCAAAAATTATTATCTAATTATTGGAATAGAAAGTGGTTTTYATTATTTTATTTTTCAAAAAATAAATAAATAAATAATAACAAAAATTTGCTGAATATATACATAATAAATAATATTAAAAAAAATATTAATCATTTARTACATGTATACATAYTATACATRCATTTCCTTAAAATGATAAACAGATTTTTTTAATTATAATATTTTAATTTTTTMAACAAAAATAATAATAATAATAATAATAATAAGTAGAAATTGAGTGATATTTTTATTATTATTTAAACTAAAAAAAATCAATTTTATGCCCATTTTCATGGATATTATCATAAATTTTTATGTTTTCTCTCTTAATATATTTATTTGAAAATAACTTCAATTATAAGTGAAAACTAAATCTGTATATAAATTGTTTTTTTTRTAAAAATAAATTGATTGATAATTTTTGATTGATTTTTCAATTTTTACTATCAATAAGATTAGCCTCAATGTTAAGTCCAGTTTTAAAACTAAAAATAATTAGTTTTTTTTTATAAATATAATGGAAATAAATAGTATTWAGTTATTATTATTATTGTWTTTTTATTGARAGCRTAAAAATTAAKTTTTTTAAAGTAAAAAAAWTTATTTTTAACTTTCTATTTAAATATATAATTTATACAATTATCGTTTAAATATATATTTATTTAATTATTGCATTTAAAGTAAAATTTAATCCTAAATTTATTTTCACTAAAAGATTACAAATAGATAACAAATAAATAGTGAAAACAATTTATTTTAAAAAAAAATAATTATTATTTTAATCTCTTAATCTTTTAATTTCAATTATCGTATTATATATTAGTAATAAATCAATAGATTTTTTTCTAAAAAAAATATTTAAAAGGTTAATAAGCTTTAATAAATTTTTAAATTAATTATAACAAATAATAATTTCTATATTTTCAACACAACAACAAAAAAATAGTATTTTAAGATAATTAAAAAAAATTATAATAAATAAATAATAATAATTTACTAAATAGTAAATAAATTTATTTTATTTTAATTTAATTTCATAATAAAATCTACATTAATATTATTAATTTTATGTTATATAACTTWTATATTAAATATATATAAAAATTTTAATTTAAATAAAAACTAAATGTAATCAATATTATTATTATAATTAATTTAAATATATATTTATTGAAAAAAAATCAAAATTTTTATTAATTTAATTTATATACTATTTATATGATTACTAATTTTTTTTTTAATTATTTTATTTTTTTTATCAAACAATTAGTGGGAAACTAAAAAAAGTTACGGCAATTGTACACAACCAACAACAACAACAACACCAGTCCCATAAYCACCAGGTGCTCAATGGTCATCATCATMATAATAAACATCATCACAACAATAACCGTATGAMAACTACTAGTTCACTATCATCATCGGCATCGTTGAGCACCTGTAGCTTATCGGCACCGACACCAAAACAACAACAGTCTATATTAGCACAAAATAACGGCAACACAAAAGCGCACATAACAGCAAAAATGATAACAAAAAACGGTACAACCGTTTATAGCACCGGTAGTACTGGTAGTGGTAGTGGTGATGGTGAGGAAGGTATGGGTAGTGGTAGTCATTACTCTGAAAACGACTACTCTATCAGCGAAATGGATAGTATCGATGGYAGTGGTGATGATGTCGATGACCATCAYATGATAAGCACCGGTATGTCTACTACTACTAGTGGTTCAGTGATGGGTCAGTCGGCTCAGGAAATGATGGAAAAAGTCAGACTAGAAGAGGAACGACTGGCCGATGAACGCCGTAAGCTTGAGCTACARCAACAACAGCTGAAACTGGAGCTACAGAAGCTTGAAATTGAAAAGTATTGAAAATGTGTATGTGTATGTGTATGTGTATGTGTATGTGTATTGTATGTGTATGTGTATGTATGTGTATGTGTATGTGTATGTGTATGTGTGTGTATGTGTGTGTGTATGTGTATGTGTATGTGTATGTGTATGTGTATGTGTATGTGTATGTGTATGTGTATGTGTATGTGTATGTGTATGTGTATGTGTGTGTGTGTGTGTATGTGTATGTGTATGTGTATGTGTATGTGTATGTGTATGTGTATGTGTATGTGTATGTGTATGTGTATGTGTATGTGTATGTGTATGTGTATGTGTATGTGTATGTGTATGTGTATGTGTATGTGTATGTGTATGTGTATTTGTATGTGTATTTGTATGTGTATGTGTATGTGTATGTGTATGTGTATGTGTATGTGTATGTGTATGTGTATGTGTATGTATGTGTATGTGTATGTGTATGTGTGTGTGTGTGTGTTGTGTATGTGTATGTATGTGTATGTGTATGTGTATGTGTATGTGTATGTGTATGTGTATTTGTATGTGTATGTGTTTGTATGTGTATGTGTATGTGTATGTGTATGTGTATTTATGTGTGTGTGTGTGTGTATGTGTATGTGTATGTGTATGTGTATGTGTATGTGTATGTGTATGTGTATGTTTGTATGTGTATGTGTATGTGTATGTGTATGTGTATGTGTGTGTATGTGTGTGTATGTATGTGTATGTATGTGTGTGTGTATGCGTGTGTATGTGTATGTATTTATATGTATAATATGTATTATGTAAATGTATGTATATGTATATGTATATGTATATGTATATGTATATGTATATGTATATGTATATGTATATGTTAATGTGTATGTGTATGTGTATGTGTATGTGTATGTATGTGTGTGTGTGTGTTAAAATATGAATTATAAAATATGTTTTTTAAAATTAGCAATATAATTTTCAAACTTATTAAAAAATTTAATAGCTAAAAAAATAAATAAAAGTAATTTTTCTTTACTTTGGCATCTAAACTATTTATAACTAAATTAATTGTCTAATAATAAATAATTTTAATCTAAAGTTTACAGTTTTAACATAATATAAAATTTATTAAAAATTGTTAAAAACTGTAATTTTATTTAAATWATAAATTTATTAATTTAAATAAACTTACACAGTTTTATTTCAAAAAAAAWAWTAATTATTTTATTTAGATAAATATCTAAACAAAAATTATTATTTTTTTTTAAAAATTAATTAATAAACAAAAATTTGATAATCTTAATTAAATATCTAATTTGCATTATTTTTTTTTTAAATAAATATATTTTTTTGAATAATAATAATTTTTTGAATACTATTTTTTTTAATTTTTTTTTAATTTTTAATTAATAGGAAGGAACTGGAAAAACGTAAACAATTAGATGAATGTCAGTCACTGTCTAACTGTTCACTGAGTAGTACATCAAACAGTTCGTCCGGTTCCCAGTCTATCGGGTTTTTAGATGAAATCAAAGCCATGGGTGAACACACCCGACGATTGCTCAGACCTGTCGACAACAACAACACTAATAGTACCGGTGCTAACAGTCGACGACAATTAATTGGTGTCCCATTACCAGCACTGGTAGGCAAAATGCCGCCGACAATAGATAACAGCAATAATAGTAGTATTATTAGTAGTAAATTGTCGGCAAAAATGGTACCCATTGTCGGATCAATTAATAATAGCGATAATAATACTAATAATAATAATAATGATAAACATAGACAACACGGTATGTATTTAATATAGTATTGATTTAGTATTGATATACTATTTACAAACAAAAATAAATCTATTGATAATAATTTTTAATCAATTAATTTATTTACATAACTATTATATTTTTTTGATAAATAAATATAAATATATATATATATATATTGTTTGATTGTATTTAATTGTTTACTATTATAGTATAGATTAGATAACATTTATATTTATAGATTATTTAACAAATATATTATTTACTAATTAGTTTTATATATCTATATTAGTAGTATTATAATTAGTCAAAAAAAATAATATAAATTATTGAATAAATATTATTAATTTATAACTAATATATTTGCTTAACGATRATAAATTTAATTAGTAAATAAATATAATTATTTATTTAATAAAAATTTATTTTATAATTTTTTAATAAAATTAATTTAATTTGAATGAAAATATAAATTATAGTATWTAWATATATATWTWTRTWKWTGTAAATTTAGATAGTAATATCATATTARTYAAAATAACTTATTATTATTATTAATTTTTATTTMAAAATAAATCTAAAAAAAATTTATTTATAATAATTATTTTCATTAGATTCAGTTWTCTATTAAAAATATAAATATTTATATTTAMKTAATACAAAAAAAATTATTAAATAATTACAGTTTTATTTTCTATTTAAATTATTTAACAATTAAACTAAAATATGTATATYAATAGTATATATATTTTTTAAAATAAATAATTAATTTAATTTTAATTTAAWTATTAAATAACAGAGCTTTTAATGGAGGAATTCCGTCGAGCGCACCGTCGGATGTTTGGCAACAATACTAATACTACTACTACTGGCCAACAATCAGCTACCGGTGCTGATAGTAATAGTAGTGATGGACAGCAAACTGATAGCAATAATAGCACTGGTATTAGTAAGTYGTCTCAAATAATTTCAAGTAATAATAATAAGGAAGCGCTTAAACAGTCTAAATCATTGCCGGCGCTCAACAATAGCAACAATACAACTACCGGTGCCATCAAWGGTAGTGGTGGTGTACACCAGATGATACCATCACCGGTTCCCACTAGTAGTACACTACACCTACCGGTGCTGGTGGTGGTGGTGGTGGTGGGGGTCGGACTACACCCAGTTGTAAGATACCGCCGGCMGTTCCCCTGAAAAAAACGGTTAGCACTGGTGGTTGTGGTGTCGGTGCCGGTAGTAGTGGACAGCCGTTAGTCCAAATCGGTACCTATGCTAACACAACGTTTACAAAAAATCGGTTTATCGCACAACAACCCCAACACCAACCCCAACAACACCGTAGTGTTATACATGTCCGCAGCACCGGTAGTAATGACCAGACAATGTTCAATACAGACAATCATAGTAGTAGTAGTAGTAGTAGCTGTAGTAGTGGTGATAGCGGTGTTGTCGACTGTTTGAATAGTAATAATCATCTACCGGTGCTGTCAATGATGGATAATAACCAAACCCAGTGCTCAACAATTAATTGTAATAATAGTGCAAATAATACTAATACTAATAGTAATAATAATAATAATTCTCAGATAACTATTAAAGTTATTTCAACGAAACAATAATTAATTATTTTTTATATTTAAATTAAAAATTATATTATAATTATAAYTTTTAATTATTATTATTATRAAAAATATTTACAATAATTAATTTTTGTTTAAACTCTATATCTATATTAATATATATATATTTTTGATACTAAATACATATGTATTACATATATTTTTGTATTTAGTTTATTTTTGATTGAAAAAAAATATTTGTATAATTTTTAGTAATTAGTAATTTATTAATAGTTTTTTTTTGAATTTTTTTTAAACACTTAAATGTTTTTTTTAATGTTTAAATAACATATAACTTACTATTTACTAATTAATTGTTGATATTATTATTTTTTTTAAATATACATTGAATTACAAAATAATAATAATAATTTTATTTTAATTAAATATATTTGTAATGATTTGTATACAACTAAACTTTTTTTTATATATAAATATTAATAAAAAATAATATTTTGTTTAATATGAAAATTTGTTATATAATTTAGTTTATCATTTCAAAAATAATTTATGTTATAATTTTTTTAATAAATAATATTAATTTTTTTTAACATAATTAAAATTTACAGATAAAAATACTTGAATAGTAGTTAATATATTTTGTACATTATATACAGTATATATCTATTATTTATTTTTTAATATTAAAACTGTAACTTTTTAATAGACTAATAGTTAATACATTTATATAAATTGTTTTAATAAATTAGTTTATTAAGTGATAAAAAAGTTATGTTGAATGCAATGATGTTCACTCTCTCTCTCTCTCTCTCTCTCTCTCTCTCGGAGAGAGAGAGAGAGAGAGAGTATATACAGACAGATATATACAGAGAAACAGTAGATTCAATACAACCAGTAGTTTGACAACCAGTTCATAGAAAATAGATTTTTTCAATAATTTTGTTCATTAATTCAGTTTTTGTTTTTTTTTTTGAAATACAATTTTTATTTATGTCTATTAGTATATAAGTGTATACATTGTCTTTATATATAAAAAATAATAATCACTATAATTTTTATTTTGATATTTTCAATAATTTAAATATATAAGTATTAAAATTTCAAGAAAAAAATAATAATAAATAAAATAAAATACAATTATAATGTTTCTAATTTACATAAAGATTATTATATAATATATTATATATATATATATAAGTATTATATACTAAATAATTATTTTAATAATATATTATTGTTGTTGTTATAGTTTTATCGCCGATAATTGTGTGGCCATTGAAGCGATCATCAATTGCGGTGAAAATTATTTTCAATTATCTAAATTAAAAATATATATATATATATAAATATTTATTAATCAATCAATTTATTAGTTATAATTAGTTTATAATAATAATTAGATATAAATGTTTTCGACTAATCTATAGACAACTGTTGCCTAAAAAAAACTTTAGTTAATAACAAGTGTTCAGACAATTTGTTTCCCATTTCAAGTCATAATAATAACATCACTGGTTGTGGACATCACTGGTCACTGATCTCTCTGTCGATGATTGTCTGCAAACACAACAAACAAAAAATACAAATAAATAAATTTTAATAATAATTATTTTTATCAGAGAAAAAATTGTTAAATAAATTAATAAATTAAATAAATATTGAATATCAACAAAAAATAAATAAAAATCAGTAAATAAATAGCATATATATATATATAACTAAATAGTATAAATTTTTTGCAAACAACAAAATATCAGTAAAATATTATAATTAAATGTGTTTTTTTTTAAAAAAAAAAAAATAAATTATAAGTTAATAGACACTCACCTCATAAAACATTATCTTGAATGTAGTCTTAATAACTAATAAAACAAACAATTAGTTTTTTATATATATATATATATAAATTAGTGCTAAAATTTACTAAAAATTAATAGCTATTTCCTACAAAATTAGCCAAACATTAGTAGTCAAATATCTATGACAATTAACAACAAAATAAAAAAAACGTTTATTTACAACACATTTATGGATATCACTGGTCTCTATTGGTTAATGATTGTCTGCAAACACAACACAACAAAAATAGAAATAAATAAATAAATAAATAAATAATTATTATTATTATCAGAATTGTTAAATAAAATAAATTAAATTAAATACGTTTACTTGAATACCAAAAAAAAAAAAAAAAAATCAGTCAATAAATAGTGTATCAATTTATGCTAACAAAACAACACAACAAAAATATCAGTAATTTTTTTTTTAATAAAATGTGTTTCAAATTAAATAAAATGTTTTTTTTTAAAACAAAAAATTATAGTAATAGTTATTATTCAATATAAAACATTATGCAGTTTTAATTAAAACATTAATTTAAATTTAAATTTCAGTTAAATTTTTTTTAATTAAGTGTTTATGTAAAACAAAAATATTACACTTAAAAAATTAATATAAAATTTTAGTCATAATATGTATGACAACAACAAAACAAAGTATTTATTTTGTCTAAAAAAAAATTATTATCAAAAAGTATTTTATGTTTCACACAATAATTTAATTGACAAACAGTTTAAATACATTTTCACACATTTTTACTATCAGTTAATGTTTGATGTGAGCTAATTATGAATCAAAAAATAAATTGTTTCCCTTTAAATACATATATGTTTTTTATTTACTTATGTTTTAACATAGGGTGGGGGATGGGGTTTATATTTTTTTCAAAAAAATAATTGCAAACTGTAATATCTGAATTCCCCCCCTCTCCTAACATATAATATTGTTTTATTATTTAAAAATAAATAAATAAAATATTAGAGTTTAATTTTATAAAATATTACGTATTTTTTAATATATATAATCTAATTTACATTTTTATTTTGATTTTTATTATAATAATTATTATAGATATTTTATAATAACTAATAAAAATAAATAGTTTTATATCAATATATATATTATAATTATTTTAAAAGCATTTCTATTAACACATTAATGTGTAATTGTATTATAATTAGTCTAAATTTTTTTTTTGTAATATCGTTTACTTTTTATAATTGTTTAATAAATATCATCAGAAAAAAATATATAAATTATCTAACAATATATAAAACAGGAAAATAAAATTATTTATTGTATTAAAAATGTATTTTTTTTTAAAAAAACTTACTTTTATTTATTGTTATTGTTGTCCATGTTTTGTATTTGCAATAATTTTAATTAAATAAAAAAATTATTATAAATGAATAATTAATAACTATTAATAAATAACAATTAATTTTTTAAAAAAAAACTAATACATTATTTTTTTTAATAAATATATAAAATATAAAAAAATCATTAATTTTATTCATAATAAACACATTGCAATTAATCATAATAAAAAACAATTTTTATAAATTAAAAAAATTAATTACGTTATTTTAATCAAGCAAATATTTTATTATAAAATAAATATTTATGTAATTTATGTAATTGAATTATTATAGTATAAATCAATTAATTAAATATAAATATAATTGTAAACATATGTTTTGTAATACTGTACTAAATTAATATATTTTTTACAATGCATAAAACAAGTTGTAGTTTATAAACTAAAACTAAATGCATTATTATAATCAATTAATCAATTAAAAACTGAAAATAAATTATTTTTAACAAATATAATTGATTTTATGACATATAAACTATTTATTATTAGTACTATAAAAAAAAACTAAATTTAATTTCCCGATTTATATCCCGATTTTGCCATTTTTTACTCCCGATTTCCCGACCGATTTTGGCAATTTAAACTCCCGAAGATGCATAACTCTAGTTATTACAAATAAAAAAGTATTTTATTTTTTCAAGTTATTTATGTATTATAATAATAATATTAATAATTATGTTAATTATTTAAAAATTTTATTTTAATTAATTAGTATAGAATACTTTTGAATTCTAAATAAAATTCAAATTATAAAAAAATTATTTACTTATTAATTTATATTGAAATTTTATTACAGTTTAATCGATTACTGATTTATTAAAAAAAAATTTCTAAACTAATCTAAATAATAGTTTTTTTTTATAAAAGTATAATAAAAAAATTAGTAATTAATAAATTTAATATGTGTGGTCTCTTTAATACATCTAATTATTTATATTTTTTTTGTTTTTTTTAAATTCATTTATATATTAATATAAATATTATATATAAATATATTTTATTGTTTTCATTTTTTACAATAAAAAACAAAAATATCTTATTAAATTTATTTAGTTAGTTATTATATTTATTTATTATACTTATACTATAGTATACCATAATTACTAAAAAATATAAACTATATAATTTTTTTTGTAACTGGTACAAATTTGTTATTACAATTTTTTTTTGTTTCTATTATATATCTATAGATAAATAAAATATAGTAAATAAATTATTCAACAATATTATTGATTATATTATTATATCATAAAAATGATAAAATAAAACTTTAATAATAGTATTTAAAGCATTAGTATTTTTTTTGTATATAAAATAAATTAGTATTATTATAATATCAGTAAGTTTAGTGTAATTTTTTGTGATTAGTAAAATGTTTTTTTTTTTAAATATAAATAGTTATATTATTTTAATTGTTTGTCTAAAATATAAACAAACAAAAAATAACAATAATATACTACTAATAGTAAAATATCAATAATTTTTAATTTTATAAAAAAAAATCATTTAATTTATGAATATTAGTGCTATACAAGTATAAAATTTTGAAATATATAAATAACAAATAATTTCTGTATCTCTGTATAAAAAAAATTAATAATAATTTATAGTATTATTTAAACAATTAATTATTTATTAAATTGGTATACATTTTTTTTATATTGTATTATGAAAAGTTAATATCTTATTAAACTATTTTATAGTTAGTTATTAAATTTATTTATTATACATATACCTTAGTATACCATATTTATTAAAATATAAACTATATTATTATTATTATTATTTTGTAACTGGTACAAATTTGTTATTCACAAATTATTGTTTCTATTAAATATATATATCTATGAATAAAATATTGAAAATAAATTAATAAATTATTAACAATATTATTGATTATATTATTATATCCTAAAAATGAGTGAAAAAAAAATTAATAAACAATAAAGCGTTAGTATTATTGTATATATAAAGTACATTATTATTATTATAACATCAGTAACTTTATTGTAATTTTTATTTTGATCAGTAAAATGTTTTGTTTTCAAATAAAAATAGTTATATTACTTTAATTTGTTTAATAGTGTTAAATACAATCAAACAAAATATAAACAATAATATACTACTACTAATAATAATATAATTTTAAAATATCATTAAATTAATAGTAATAATAATAATAATAATAATGAAAATTAAAATAATTATCATATAATTATAGTGAGGATATTAAATGTTTTGTTTTGCTTTTTATAAAAAGTATATAATTTTTATAAATCAAAATAAAATTTGTTTTCAGCAATTAAAAAGAAAATCAAAAACAAATCAAAAAAAAAATATTATAATTAATTTTTATAATTAAATATTAATAAATTATATAAAACATTAAATTCAACAAAAACAAAAAAAAAGTTAATTAATAATTAATTAATAATAACACAATTACAGTACCAGTGTCATTTATATACATTATATGGTATAATTTTTTACACAAAAAAACATCTAATTAATTATTTAGCTATTATTATTATTTCAATATATTAATTAATAATTAAACTAGACTATTATTGTTATTAATTTTGTAACTGGTACAATTTTGTTATTACAAATTATTATACTTATATCTTAGTATACCTTAATTTGTTAAAATATAAACTATATTATTATTATTATTATTTTGTAACTGGTACAAATTTGTTATTATAAATTATTATTATTTCTATCATAGAGATAAAGTATAGTAACTAAATTAATAAATTATTAACAATATTATTGATTATATTATTATATCATAAAAATGAGAAAAAAATTTTTTATTACACTATTATTATTATAACATCAGTAACTTTATTGTAATTTTTATTTTGATCAGTAAAATGTTTTGTTTTTAAATAAAAATAGTTATATTACTCTAATTGTTTTAATAGTGTTAAATACAAACAAACAAAAAATAACAATAATATACTACAACTAGTAATAATATAATATAAAAAATAAAAATTTTATTTATAAAAATCATTAAATTAATAGTAATAATAATAATAATGAAAATTAAAACAATTATCATATTATTATTGTGGATATTATTTATCTATAAAATACTAATGCATTCAACAGAGTATTTGAAATACCAGACAAACAATGAATTATATTTCAATAAATCAAATGATAGAAATGTTTTTCATATGAAATCAATGCCATCGATAACCATATGTTTGACTAGTAGTAATCAATGGACTAATAATAAAAATAATAATAATAATAATCAATTGATTTATAATCTAATACCAAAAGAATTATCAAAAAACGATACGTTTAGTAATATATTTGTTTGTAAAATAAATGGACAATTTTGTAATAATTATTATCATAATAATAAAAACTATATGCGCTATACCTATACAGGTAGACAGTGTCTAACTATATTTTACCAGGGCAATTTTAGAAATTTACAAATAATTCCAAATAGATTACTAACTAATCTATATATTGGTTTCTATAATGTTCGGGATATATCAATAGCATTCTCAACTAGCAATACACCCACACATTTTCAACCATACCGTATGTATCGGTTGAACAATAAAATGATGACTTACTATGAAATTGAAGCAAATCTCCAGCAATACCTACCGTTTCCCTATCAGACTGATTGCCAATCATATGATAATGATATCGATGTCGACAACAATAAACAACAATCAACTGATGGACGACCACTAGTAGGACGACTGGAGAAACCAAAATCCCGTACGGAATGCATGTTAAACATAATGACTGATAGAGAGTATAGAAAATGTAATTATAATTACTATTGGATTCAATATCCTATTAAAAATCAATCAGAAATTCAATCATTAACTAAACATTTTAATAAATTAAGATTAAATAATAATTCAATTAACGATTGTATTGTTGATTATAAATTAAGTGAATTATATCGGAAATGTAAACCCGATTGCAATCATTATACATATGATATAACAGTTCAGAAAATGGACAAAGAATTACTTGATTTATATTTTAAACAATTAATTTTTATTAATATTAGAAAACAATTGAAATTACAAATAATATATTCACCAAAAATATCAGCCATTAGTTATTGGTGTGAATTGGGAGGACTTATTAGTATGTTTTGGGGTTACAGTTGTTATTCATTATTAACTAAATGTTTGGAAATGTTTTCATTGAAAAAAATGTTAGAAACTATTATTAGATATAATAGAAAACTTCGAAAGTTTAATAATATTATAATTAATAATAACAATAATACTAATTATTATTATTATATTAAACAACTAACTAATTATTTAATATTTTTAATATGTTTACTGATAATGTGTTGGCATTTATTATCGATAGTGAAATCATATCAAACATATCAAATTCAAACTGAAATAAAATTCAAAAACACTATTAGATTACCAATGATTTCATTAATATTTACACCAATCGTACCATTTGTTCAACAATTATCTATCGATGATAGGGATAGAAATTATTTAGATATTTATAAACATTTAAATAAATATGGTTTACATTTATTAAACACTAGTACTAGACAACAATTTTATCAATTTTTTCAATCAAAAATTGATTGTCAATTTGTATTTATTACAAATAAATTATATACTAGTATTGATTGTCCTGAAAAAAAATTATTTTTAGGTAAATTTTATTTAATATTTCATAGACCAATATTTAAATTTTATTATTCAATAATATATAAACAAACATTGTTTTCATTGAATCAAACATTTATTGATTATATTAGTAGTCATCAACTAAAACATTTATCAATTAAATTGAATAATAGTTTTATTAATAATAATTATTATGCAAAACAAACAGTATTGCAGACACTGTTTGACGATTGGAATTCAGATAATAGAATTGATATCAAATTTAATAGTTTAACAAATATTTTCTATACGACTAAAGTTGTCAATCAATTAAGTATTAATAGTAATCAATGTTTAGACAAAAAATCAATAATTGATAAACAATTTGACAATCGATTTGTTAGTAGTTATGATAATTATAGATTCAAATCAATTAATAATTGTATTAGAAATGAATATTTAATAACAAATAGTTGTCAACCATTTATTTACAATAAATTTGATTTATCACTGAAAACAACGGATGATATTAGTAATTGTGAGACAAATGAAAATTCTGGTAATTTATATAAATCTATTCAACAAAAATGTTTGAAACAAACTAGTGGTAAATGTTTGCGAATATTACCGGATATTAGTTCAACAACAGTCCCGTTGACGGGATTCCCGACGTATACTCAGATCAATATAATACCCAAACATGGATTAGAGCCACAAATCACTGAACAGTTATCAATGGATATCTATTCACTTATCTATGAAATCGGTGGTACTATTGGTATGTGGATCGGCATATCTGTAGTCACATGTAGTCAACTATTTTCATACATATATTATACTTTGAAAACATTATATCAAATTTATATCAATTATAAAAATCGTGTTATAGTTATTTAACTATAAATAAATATATATATATTATAATTCATAAAATTATTGTTGTTATATATATATATATATCAAAATTACTTATTTGTAATATAATCTTAAAACTAATGTTTTTTTGATAATTTTAAATATTATTTAATTAATGATAATGTTATTTTGTGTGTATTTTTTCAACTTTTATTTGTTAAGTTTTTGTACTATTAATGTAAAATATTTTATTTATTTATTTTCATATAACTAATGTATAACAGGGATAACTAAATTGTTTTTATTCACATATTTTATTTGCATAGTATTTACACATTTATATACTAATATTTATTTGTTATATATATATATATATATATTGATTGATTTATAAGTAAGTTATTTGTATTAAATGTATTAACATTTATATTATAATCTCAAATATCAAATACTAAAAGTAATATTATTTATTTTATTTTTTTAAAGTAATAATAATAATACTTATAATAAACATAATATTTGCATAAAATTTTGTCTATTTAAAAAAACAAAAAATAATAAACTACTTTCAATAATAAAAATAAAAATAATAATATATTTAATAATTACTTATTATAAACTATATGTTAGATTTTTTTTTAATTAAAAAATAACGTAATTAATTGTGACATTTATATTTATTATGATTTTTTCATATAAGTAGATTTAATAACATTTAATAATAATAATAGTAATAATTATTAATTAAATTTAGTGTAAATTTATTTTAGTTAATAATGTATTTATATTTATGTTAACAACAAATAATAATTAATAATTAATATCTTTCGGTATTAATAAAATTTTTATGAATACATTGTAATTACTAATTATTTTTTTTATGTGAGTTAATATTTTTATTTTATTTTTTTGGTGTATTTTATTACTAGTTATTGTTGTTTAATAAAGTTTCCCAAAACAATACAAAACAATAGTATCTAATTATTTGTTACTAATAATAATAATAATAATACATTAGTAATTAAAATCTATTGTAACTATTTTTTTCTACATTTACTTATAATAATTATGGTATTTGATAGTCAGGTAAGTGTGTAATACATGCTATTTGTTGTAATATACAGTATATATATATATATATATATATATATTGTATTTAAAATAATAATAAAATTGAAACAAATAATCATTGGATTATTACAATTATTATTTAATATATAATTTAAGTTAGAAATAATTAATTATTATTTGTCAACAAAATTGATGATTATATGTGTATGTGTATGTGTATGTGTATGTGTATGTGTATGTGTATGTGTATGTGTATGTGTATGTGTATGTGTATGTGTATGTGTATGTGTATGTGTATGTGTATGTGTATGTGTATGTGTATGTGTATGTGTATGTGTATGTGTATGTGTATGTGTATGTGTATGTGTATGTGTATGTGTATGTGTATGTGTATGTGTATGTGTATGTGTATGTGTATGTGTATGTGTATGTGTATGTGTATGTGTATGTGTATGTGTATGTGTATGTGTATGTGTATGTGTATGTGTATGTGTATGTGTATGTGTATGTGTATGTGTATGTGTATGTGTATGTGTATGTGTATGTGTATGTGTATGTGTATGTGTATGTGTATGTGTATGTGTATGTGTATGTGTATGTGTATGTGTATGTGTATGTGTATGTGTATGTGTATGTGTATGTGTATGTGTATGTGTATGTGTATGTGTATGTGTATGTGTATGTGTATGTGTATGTGTATGTGTATGTGTATGTGTATGTGTATGTGTATGTGTATGTGTATGTGTATGTGTTCAAAATGTTCAAAAAAATATATTAATATTATTTATGAAATAATATTTTAGTTTTTTTAATATAACAATTTCATATAAATAATTAAAAATTTTATTGATTAAAAACTGTAATGTTTTTTTTTAATATTTTTATTTATTTTTTTTAAATTTTTATTAATTATATTGACCAAAGGATATCCACTAAAATATTTTATAATTTTATTTTATTATTTAAAAAAATAATATTTTTCATATGTTTGGAATAAAAATTAAATTGTTTGTTTAGTTCATATAAACTTTATGTTCAAAAAAAAATAATTAATTTTTAATTTATTCAAAAAAAATAATTAGTAAATTATTTTATTTTTTATTTCTTAAATATTATTTTTTTTTATAAATATAATTTGATAATTAATTGATAGTAAAAGCATTGTTTGATTGGACAGACAGACAAACAGATATGTCATATACGGACAGTCATACGGACTGACCACTAGGCGGGCGACCGATACGACTGTCCCAACAGATTGACTGATGAAACCAATTGCTGAGCACATCATTGAAACATTTATTTTATTTATTTTGTTTAAATAATATAAATTTTATAATAAAATTATTTTAAATTATTTATAATTAATTAATTTATTTATTTATATAATCTAAATATTGTTTGTATATATATAATAATAATAATTTATTTCTTTATTTATTTTTAATTTAATAATTGTTTAATTTTTTTTCACCCAATAATTAATTGTTGTTAATTATTAATAGGTAATTGTTATGATAAATATTTTTTTTTTAAATTTAAATAAATAATTGAATTCAATTTTTTTCTAAATTTTTTATACAGTATAGTTGTATTTAAATATTGACATAAAAATTTTGTATATTATATATATATACATCTATTAATTAATTTTTTTAAAACTGTAATTTTTTAATAGACTAATAATTAATATAATTATATAAATTGTTTTAATTTTATAGTTTATTAAGTGATAAAAAACGTTATGTTGAATGTATGAGTGATCGCACTCTCTCTCTCTCTCTCTCTCTCTCGGAGAGAGAGAGAGAGAGAGTATATACAGACAGATATAAACAGAGAAACATTAGATTCAATACAACCAGTAGTTTGACAACCAGTTCATAGAAAATAGATTTTTTCAATAATTTTGTTCATTATTTCAGTTTATTTTTTTGAAATACAAATTTTATTTTTGTCTCTTAGTATATAAGTGTATACATTGTTTTTATATATTAAATAATAAATACTATATATATATTTTATTTCGATATTTTCAAATAATTTAAATATTAAGTTGTTTTAAAATTTCAAGAAAAAAATAAAATACAATAATTATGTTTTCCTTTTTTACATAAATATTATCCTAAATATATTATATAATATTATTAATCTGTATTATATACTAAATAATTATAATTATTTTAATAATATATTATTATTATTATAGTTTTGCGCCGATAATTGTGTGGCCATTGAAGCGGTCATCACTTGCGGTGAAAATCATTTTCATTATATCTAAATTAAAAAATATATTTATTAGTTAATTAGTTTATAATAATAATTAGATATAAATGTTTGACTAATTTGGATATAATCTGTAGTTAATATCAAGTGTTCAGACAATTGATTCCCATTTCAAGTCATAATAACACTCTCTGGTTGTGGACATCACTGGTCTCTGTCAATGATTGTCTGCAAACAAATAAACAAATAAATAAATTAATAATTATTTTTTTAAAGAGAAAATTGTTAAATACATTAATAAATTAATTAATTAATCTAATAGTTTAATATTGAATACCAACCAACAACAAAAATAGTAAAATATTATAATTAAATGTGTTTTTAAAAAAAAATAAATTTTAAGTTAATAGACACTCATCTCATAAAACATTATCTTGAATGTAGTATTAATAACAATAAAACAAACAATTACTATGTTTTTTATTTTTAAATTAGTCTTAAATTTAAAAAATTAATAGATATTTCCACAAAATTAGCCTAACATTAGTAGTCAATATGTATGACAACAATAATAAAATCAAACATTTATTTCAACACATTTATGGATATCACTGGTCTCTGTCAATGATTGTCTGCAAACAAAAAAAAATACAAAAAATACAAATAAATAAATTAATAATTTTTATTATAAGAGATAATTGTTAAATAAATAAAATAAATTAATTACCTTTATTTTAATACCAACAACAAACAAAAAAATTAGTCAATAAATAGTATATCAATTATGATACAAACATATCAGTAAATGTGTTTAAAATTTAATTAAATGTATTTTTTTAAAATAAATAGTTATAGTAATAGTCAATCAACTCATAAAACATTATTAAAATTAAAAGTGTTAAACAACACACAGTGTTATTGTAAAACAAAATATTACACTAAAAAAAATTAATATAAAATTTTAGTCAATATGTATGACAACAACAAAAACAATAACAAAAAATAAAGCATTTATTTTATCAAAAAATATATATATATTTTCAACAGTATTAAATGTGTCACACAACAATTTAATTGACAAACAGTTTCAATACATTTTCACATTTTTACTATCAGTTAAATGTTTGATGTGAGCTAACTATGAATCAAAAAATGTCTCTTAAAAACAAAAACTATTTTTTTCCCTTTTAAATACATATGTTTTAACATAGTGTGGGGGAGGAAGGGGTTTAGATTTGTTTTAACAAAATAAAAAGTACAAACGTAATATCTGAATCCCCCTCTCCTAATATATAATTTTAGTTAAATATTATATTTTATTATTATATTATATTAGTAAAATAATATTATATTTAAATTTGTAAATTTATTTTTCTAATTAAATGTTTAGTTATTTTATTAAATATGTATACTAAAAATAAATTTTTTTTAAAAAATAATTAAAATTACATTCTATAATTTTATTTGTTTCAAAAAAAAAACGACAACTAATAAAAATAAATATTAAAATTTACATTAAATATAATGTGATATATTTTTAATATCTAAAAATATTCATAAATTTTAAAGTTAATTGTATTCACAAAATACATATCTAAAATTTTGTACAGTTTTAGGTAGTATTGTAAG